GAATACTATAATATACGCTTCAACGTCAGCCTTCCATCAATAAATCGCAATACTATGAAATGCTATCGAGTTGCATCTTATTCCACATATGCACTTAAAAACTATTCCTGATAGATCAAAAACAAATCGGGTTTAAACGGGACCGGGACGGGTTTCCCGGTTAGAAAGCGGGACCGGGATCGGGACGAAAAAAACCGGTCCCGCAGGACCCTACACCCACACCCACACCCGTTTATATAGGACCAAACTATATCAGACCGAATCAAAGTTATCTTTATTCTGATAAAGTTCGACAAAAGCAAGTCACACAAGAGTACAACAATCTTCTCGATTTCATTATTCCGTATCTAGTACGTATTTATCATATGTCAATGACATCGAATATCATCAAACAATTCCCCCAACAACTTGCAACTTATTTATGTGAACGATATATGGCACCAATATCTTATCTCAACATCTATCGAGCTCAAAACGAATTTCAAATCATAAAATCTGTTCAACGTAGTCTACGAAAAGGAAAATATGTACTTCGTGTAACAGATAAAGGTGGCGTATTTCGTATTGGTCATTCAAAAGATTACGAACAAAAGGCAGAAGCTTATCGACAAAAAGCGGGAGCATATGTTGAATTAGAAAATAATCCATTATGGATAATTTTTGACAACGTAGTAAAACTACTAAATGATCTTCGTTCGAAAAACCATATTTTTGCATGGCAACTTAACTAAATGATGCCAAAACGAGATAATGTTGAACTAGCTTATCTGTATTTTGTTCCAAAACCACATAAGGTAATTTTGGAATGTCGTTTCTTTGCTATCATTATTCAGTTCTATTCATATTTATAGGAAGGAACTCGATTAATACCAATTGTATCTTCGATGCATACACCAACAGCTGATACTTCTAATCTTCGTCGCCTATAAACATATGTTCCAAATGATCACTGGAAGCCAACAACTTATTTTTGTACATTTGACATTACAGATTTATACACCATGTTACCTCAAGAAGAATTTCTCTTGGAACATGGCTATCAAAAAGTAAAAAACGTTCCAATTGATGCTATTCGGAAATTAGCTCGTCTTGTTATAACAGAAAATGTTTTTACATACGAAAAAAAGTTCTATCGACAAGTAGTTGGTGGTGCAATGGGATCTGCATTCACTCTAACTTTAGCAAATATCTTCATGTGGAAGTGGGAAAAACAACTTGTTCTTCACCAAATAGCTTCAAATGAAATCTATAGCAGGTGAGTTTCACTCTTTCATTTAAATACTACGTTAGTTGAACATTCATTTGAATATTCTTTTTCATAGATATATGGACGACATCATCATCACATCAAACGAATCTTTGGAGAACATCAATCAATTGTTAGATAAAGCCAATGCTCTTCATCTAAATATTTAAACTGGTGCGTGAAATTGGTACGAGTGTATCATTTCTCGATGTTCACATCGAGAATAAAAATGGAACGTTAGCAACAACGGTTTATCACAAAGAAGCAACTGAACCATACGTCGTTCTTTTTGAATCTGATCATCCAAACAT